TAATAAATTAAAATCTGTAATTGTTGTTCAGTTGCTTTGGTATAAGTGGAATAAAACAGCTCGAGACATGCTGTTATTGGAAAATAATGAACTTCAGGGTGGTGATGCACATAACAACCCCCCCCCCCCCCCCCCCCCCCCCCCCCCCATGTTGATTATTTTCCTATAACATATCCTGTCGTGTTTTATTCCTTACTTCAGGGGATCCCAAACTTTTTGGGCAAACGTCCCCAAATGGACATTATGAATTTCCTGTGACCCCAAGCCTACCCTATGTTTATTTTAATTCCAGAGTTATATCCTAAATTTACATCTGAGCATGTCTTTATGTTAGTATCATACATACATGTAACACAAAAGGAATATTCCTAGCACTGATGTACCAGTTTAGTGGGAAGGGTTGTGCTGTTATAGGAAAATAATCCACGATGGGGTGGTGTGATATGACCATGTACGTCCGAAAGATTTAAAAGCGACACATTACAAAACCTTTTGGTAGGCTTGAAAGCTGCATGAGAGGTTTTTAAAATTCAAACGCTAACTGTTAGAGTCAGTACTCAATAATGGTCTAGAATAGCTCATTTGAGGAGATTTGTCCATTTCTACTGCAGAATTCAAACACTAGTGCGGCCTGTCAAGATAGCGGAAAAGAAACTTTAATAGCACGAACCCTATTAATTTAAATGTGGCTTGTTTAAATATGCCTCCCAGCAACATTAAAAATATTAGCACACGCAATCTAATATTAATTTGTAAAACAAATGAATGAAACAAAATGAGATTGTGAGAATCTCTTGCAACCCTATTTGTAAATCATGCCACGCCCAGTTTGGGAACTCCTGTCTTATTTATTAAGACTGTATTTGAGTGAGGTGCACGTGCAGTGTGCAAAGTAACTGGATTAAGCCACTGTTCAAGAATAAAGTAGTGTTTTCTTGTCCGTCTTTTCTAAAATCCATAAACTGATATATAAACTGCGTAACCTAAAGGCCACAGTGTTAAGTTACAGCAGAGCATTGTGGGAAGCCCACCTGTGGAGATGTTGCTGTACTTTCCTCCATACTGAGACGTGATCACCGGTCCCACGTCGGCACGGCTCAGGGACGAGAAGTGACTCTGCTCCCGGTAGAGCTTAGCGATCTCCTCAGGGCTGGTCATTACCTTGTAACACATAGGGGGAAAAAAAATATGGCAAGTCAGTGGTGCAAGTTGGCAGGGAATTCTTAGGCCTAAGAATGGGAGCAAGATACAAAGTTTATATATCCTTAAGAGTCCTCTTAAATGCGCGTCTCAGGGTGTCTCAAACTGTTAGCGACAAGTAGCAAAAGCACTGAGATAGAAAAGACATGCATTATGCAACTGACTGATGATGCAGAGCTCATACAGGTTTTAATATTTTTTTATCCATATAATTAATCATTAATCAAATCTTCAGCAACACTATAAGAAACAACTTAGTGATGGCTGATTGAAGCAACTCATTTTGGATGCACCACATATGGCCATCTGGCTGGCTCTGTTCATTGACACATGTTTCAATTATAAAGTCTTTCCACTCTTAGCTAAATATTCAGGATTTACTCAAATGCTAACCACATAACATATGGTATTATTGTATCATATTCAGTCAAATAATATCTTCATCACTGATCATAGCAGTTTTCATAGCCCTTTGGCTCTTCGAAAGAAAAATAACAACTAATAACCACAAATATTTCTTATACTATATGTTAAAAAAAAATGCTATTTTTGCAATAAGATTTATAATAGTCCTGGTATAAAATCTAAGTAGACGGCATGGGTTATTATGACCCATAAAAAGTACATCCATTGCTAAGCAGTGAACAGCACACAAGGGTTAAATCATTTAGGCCAAATGCACACAGAACCTAGGGGGTGTTTCATCAAGTGTAGTCACTTGACACGACTGAGTGAATCTACATTCAGAGCTAGAAATCAACCCAACTCCATACCATTCTGTGAATTTTTACTTACATCTGTTGGCAGTGCTATTGTTCTAGGTTCCAGAAAAGTAAGAAATAATCCACTTAAAGCCATTGATGTAGATGCCAAAACTGGGCCTTATTTTAGGTATTTTTCCTTGAAAGAGAGGGAGGGCTTCTGCCTGTTAGCGAATTTATACCAGCTGGCCCTGAGCATAAGCAGTAATTATTTATGTTGATATTTTCTGCAAGCGGTATGCTTATTACAGGGTGAATTCAGGTAAACTGGACCAGCATTTATTCAGGTAAACAGCATTTATTTTCTGCCCTGATACGTCTAAGGTTCTGTTACTAAGCCCCTGCAGTGGAACTACTCGATAGTAATAACAGACCTTAATTAATGTGATATCATACACTATAAGGGGCTGTGGGACAAATTAAACAGGAAGGTTCTAAATATGTCATAATTAATATAATGTACATAGTTATTATGCATTATATACATAAGATATACTACTGTTTTTTAAAAAAAACAAATTTTGTTCAAATCATCTAAACATTTTGCCAATGATTTGGTAATCTGGGACAAAACAGTTCAGGTTAATTGCGAGTCTTAAAATACAGTAAGTGGAGAGGAAACGTAAAGGGATATAATGGATACATGTGTTGATGCATTAAAAACATCCCACAACTATGGTTAAATGATGGTTTGGTGGATTTGATGGGTTTTCAATGGTGTTTTCATGAAGCATCTTTATAAACAGGGGAATACGTTAGATTGGGAAATACCAAACACTACTTATGCCTACTACTTAGTGTGCAGATGGTGATACTTGATATGAAATGATACTTCCCTTTTAGTCTGGCTTTTTTTTTTTTAAATCTGTTCAAACTGAATTTTAGAAAAGATTGGAAAATACCGAAGATTTTCTTGTAAGCAATTAATTATAGACTGTTGTTATAGACTGCTATTGTGTGCTTGGGCTGCGGCACCACTACAAAGGATACCAAAAAAAAAAACCAAACAAAAAAAGTCATTAAGAGTCATATAACTGGATCAGTTATAGGTCCCAGACTGGACATAGTGGAGAAGTGAAGAGGAGGATTCTGTCCAAGCTCAATGTCATCATGAGCAATCACTCACACCCGCTCTATCCAGCAATCACTGCACAGAGGAGCACACTGTGCGTGAGGTTACGCTGACCTCGGTGCAGAAAGGAGCGCTTTCACAGGTCCTTTCTAACTGCAGCCATCAGACTGTACATCTCCACACATAACTTCTCCACCTGAGCAGGAACATTGATTTTTCTGCACTACTTCTTGGAGGACAAACATCGTACTTTAAGAATTTTGCTCAGTCCAATGCTGCATAATGACATTTTTGCACACTGTTATAACCTGCATACAAGTCTATCTGGTTATATCCTGTCCAATTTAGCACATAATCTGTTTTTCTGTGTATATATTCCCAAGTGCCATCTTCTACATATATATTTTCTACTTTTTTTTTTTTTCCCATATACTTGCATAGTTGTTTATTTTTTACATATTTAACACTCTCCTGCAGCTATATTGTCTTTTGTCTTATATTCTCTATTGTCTCGGCTGCTGGTATAACACTGGAATATCGCACCTGGGATTAATAAAGTATGATCTTACTCAGGCCCATATCTTAATATGTGAACACTTAACTAACCCCTAACTTGTCCCCACTCAAAAAAAAACAAAAAAACAAAAACATACTGCACTTACACTGGCTCTTAGACATCTACTCTGTGCACTTTGCTCCTCTAGCACTCAATTAAAAATCTTGTATGGTACCAAGACTTGTATTGTTGTCTGCTTGTTATATTGCTTTGCTTGTATTTCCTGATTTCCTGAACTGTAAGTCGCTTTGGATAAAAGTGTCTGCTAAATGATTAAATGTAAATGTAAACATATAGTCAATCTTACTCAGTCTGCTGTGTCCATACAGTATTAGAGTATGTTGATGATGAATTTGGAGAAGAGGTCCTGTTGCTGAAATTTGATTTACTGATGCCACGAATGAGTATGCAACACATAAATAACGTTTTAAACATGTCAGAATGAATGAATGAATGAGAATGGAAGTAAAGACCCAAATGCGTGTCCCAAATTACCAAAATTGTCATGGCTCGGGGGGAGAGATCGCTAGTAATTTTAACAAGTGCTGTTTTAGTGCTGTGTTTGGGACGGAAGCTGAGATGCTACTGTCCATTCAAGAATCTTCACTTTAAAAGGAAGATTGGAAATGGGCGGGTAATTATTTAAATCATGAAGATCTGCACCAGTTATTTTCAGAATGGGTGTAATGGAAGTCATTTTTAAACGAGGAGGGAGCAGTGGCACTGGACAGAGAAGAGTTAATTATGGATGTTACAACAGGGGAAACTGAGGGAAGGTCGGTTTTAACCAGGCTAGTAGGAAGGGGATCCAGTTAGCAAGTAGATAACCTGGACTTGTAATGAGTTCCATGATATCCTGACATATATGATACAAGAACAAGAGTGGTGGAGGGCAACAGTTTCAGGATATTCAATGAGAGGGAGTATCCCGTCACAGATGTAGAAGAGGCCAGTTTCTGATGAATGTTAGTGATTTTGGGGCTGAAGGATTCCAAAAATGCAGAACATTCACTAGTGAAGATGAAATGAGAAGAGGTGTTTTCTGGAGGCTTAGTAATTTGTTGATAGTGGACAATAATGTCAGTGTATTACTTTGTCTGGAACTAATAATGTTAGCGTAGTACGATGATTTGGCAGCATTGATTGCATTCTTAGAACATATCAGGTGATCAGAGTACATCTGTTTATGTATAGTAAGTCCAGTTTTTTAGACAACCTCTCCAAACGACGGCCCAGAGCTTTTTGCTGTCAAAGCTCATAGGTATACCATGGAGAGGAGTGAACAAATGAAACTGTATCGGTATCAAGGTGTCTAGTATAAGGGATAGACTGCCATTATAGTAATTTACCAGGTCTAGGGTGGAAGAGTGGCTAAAGAAATGAACAGAATGACTAAGTAATCTGTTGAAGGTTCCTGGAGGACTAGTGGTTAGGCCATGGCACAATCACCGCCACGGCCTGGGTTCAAATCTCAGCCAGGGAACTAACCCCAGCCACTTGGGGTGCACTCCCAGTGCCGGTCCCAAGCCCGGATAAAACTGGGAAGGGAAGCACATCCGGCATAAAAAACAGTGCCAAATCAAATATGGGGACCAATGATCTGCTGTGGCGACCCCTAACAGGAGCAGCCGGAAGAGGAACAACAACTAATGAGTCTGTTGAGGTCACCGGGGTTAACATTTTTAATATTACGAAAAGATATACGGTGATCTAGGTTAGATTCTGATAAGGGTAACAGCGACATCAAAAAAGACAAGCTTGTGATCAGAAATGGGAAGCTCAAGAATAACAAACTAAATCTAAGATGAAGATGTGACCTTTATTGACCGGTGAGGCCAAAACTATCCAGAATGGAATTAAAATCCTTATAAAGTGTGCTGGTAGGGTTATCAAAATGAACATTAAAATCTCCCATTAAGGACATAGCACACAAACTTGTTAAAATAGAAGTGAGCTCCATAAGAGATATAGTAGAGGGGTTGGGAGGTTTATAAATATCCGACTTGCATACAGACTGTAGCTATCGAACAAAATGTATTTGAAATAAATAATTAATAGTAATACCAGTTTGTTTAATACATGTGTAATTATTTTACTCTTTAATTAGCAGGAAGGGGTCAAGTGTACGAAATAGTGTTAACTAGCTATACAAGTTAAACTTTCACAACACACTACGACCTGATTTACTGTACCTTCAAATCCATGTCACCGCTGAGACTCCTTTCTGTTCTCACTGATGTCTGTCTTATATTTTTCAACGTTTATTAACAATGCTTGTCACTAAAGAAAATCCTGGCAATTTTTAGCCTACTCTCCGATTTATGTGAACAGACTGAAAATACACTTTGTTTAATCAGCAACAATACCCACATGATCTAATCTTACTTCCTAGTCAATTTCCACTCTGTCAAAATAAAAGTCACATACCCAAGCCGTGCTCTGCGTGTATTTCTAATTCGCATAGTTACACGATACACTAACGGTATGTACTCTTTTTGTGAAGTAGTGAAACATTCTAACACGTCATGTACCGGAAGAGAGCATTGTTGCCTAGTTACGCACACTGTCACAGGAAGCAAAGCTTTTCTTCATTCGTTATTCCTTATAGAATTTATACTATAGAATTTAATTTATCATTCCCTTGATTTATTTTTTCCACATTTCATTTACAACTCTCTAAAATGCGTGTGGCGAAGCAAACCGCCACAAAACTCCTCCTCCATCGCGCAAGGAGTTGTGGGAAATATTAGCTGGAAAAAGTGTCCACGGATCCACACTTCGAGAATCTACCGGAAATAGTAGAGCATCCGGGTACCTTTGGGATACTCGTTTCAATAGACTTCGACTTAGGACACACTAATTCTAATCTCGGATACTATTTAGGACGGATAGTAGGCGAATTGAGACGCAGTAATGGATACAGCGGTGGTGTTTTTGGTCACGTGAGAAAATGAAAAGGTAAGACGTCAAAACAAGAGCGAGATGTGGATGGATCTTGCACCTGTGCTGCACACATTGACCAGAGACACACACTCAGATCAGATCAGATCACACACACTCCTTTATTACCATCCTGTCACTCGCTTTCCATACCAAGATCTGTAGTTTACTAGTTTAATCAGAAACTATGTTGACTTTTCAGAATACTCAGTGTGCAGTTAGTCTGTATGAGGATGCTGTAAGACTGCATGAGGACAGACAGAGGACAGGGCAGATACACCACACATGAAAACAGGGGGACTACATGTATACATGTCTACATGACTATGACTACAGCTATTTCAATGGATAATTAAAAGGTTTAGACATTTGAAATATTTAGACATTTAAAAAAAAAAATTGTTATCATGGTGATAACTAGTTATCAAGTCTGGATCTTGGTAGGTTTAGAAGGTTTTTAGCCACTTATCTGTTTTTATTAATACATCACTGCCCACCTTTTGCTTTACTTCTTCTAAAGAAATTGTGCATAATTTATTTAAGTAGGTGTAGTTTAATCTTTACAATTATGCTATGGATGGCAATGGCAATACACACACACACACACACACACACACACACACACACACACACATACATATATATATATATATATATATATATATATATATATATATATATAAAATGTCCACCCATAGCTATAACTCCAGACTTGCCACTGAAGCTAATCTACTCATTCAAATCACTTTTTGCTTAGATAAGACCATAAATTAAATTACACAAATGACTTTGATTTAGGAATCATACTATATAATAATAATAATAATAATAATAATAATAATAATAATAATAATAATAATATACACCCATACACCTGCACATTCATACAGTTATCTAACCAGCCAATCATGTGGCAGAAGCGTAATGCAAAAACAGTCACACAGATGCAGGTCAAACGCTTCAGTTAATCTGGCGATTTTCCTCTGACCTCTCTTATCAACAAGGCGTTTCCACCCACAGACCTGTCGCTCACTCAATGTGTTTCGTTTTTCGCACCATTCTGTGTAAACTCTAGAGACTGCTGTGTGTGAAAATCCCAGGAGATCAGCAGTTTCTGAAACACTCAAACCAGCCCATCTGGGACCAAAAACTCTGCCACTGTAAAAGTAAAGATAAATTGCTATCACTTTTTTTCCCCATTCTGATGTTAGGTGTGAACATTAACTGAAGCTACTCTCCTGTATCTGCATGATTTTATCTATTGTGCTGCCGCCACATGATTGCTGATTGGATAACTGCATAAATGAGCAGGTGTTCCTAATAAAGTGGATGGTGAGTGTATATGCACAGTCTAATCTTGTTTAAATTGAACAAGCCTACTCCTGATCGGGTTTGAGCTTCTGGAATTGTTTTCTTGGTAAGAAGTCCGACAAGAGTTTCAAACAACAGACAAATCCAGAATCAGGTCGAATCCACAATAATCCTGTCTAATTTCCGCAGAAATCCACGTATGAAGAACGGGCCCCAAGGCCTTTCCCTCAAAGCGGGGTTTAATGATTATCTAGTTAACTATAGATTGAACTAACCCTGATCTTCTGTTTCATGTTTGTGGATCATCTTTTACCCATGGTACATAATGGTAACTTATGATGCATGCCAGGTTACAGTCAGAATCAAAGATTGTAAATAGCTCTTGTAACAATTAGTTGTCAAAGGTGTAATTTATTCCCTGTTATACCAAATAAATGGCTTATTTACAGCCTTAGTGTTTATGTATTACATATGCCATCTCGCTTATCTATTGATTTGACTGATCTGTATATTACATGTTACAGGGATATTACAGTAATACAGTGGAGCTACCATGAGAAAGGACACCTGAAGTTAACCGTATTGAAACATCTGTTGAAAATTTCTTAAGACAAAACACAAACTATTTGACCAAGTGGAACAGTTTATTATGAATTAATCCAGCACCAAAATAACATGCCCGAAATACTTGTGATTTCATCAAAACAGTAATCCTTATAAAATTTGTGCCATAATCTTGTCATAAATCGTTGAATTGTCTAGGGTAAAGTTTCTATGTTGAAAAAGCAATTTTATCAAATATTAAATCTGACATAATTGTCCAGATTACATACAAAGCACAAATAATCTACTTATCATTTTGCACAAATAAATCTGATAGCCAGGTTCACAGTAATAGTATTGCACTTGGAAATCCTTGGCTATGTCTTTTGAAACTACCCATTACAAAACAATATCAGAAAAGAATTTATATTGATGTCAAGTTTCCCAAGAGCCTAACCTTGTTAACAAAATTCTATACAAGACTGATACGTTTAAAAAAAAAAAAAAAAAAAAACCAATATGCATTTTGTTTTTGCAGGCTTATCATCGACT